CCTAGTGGGGAGGACATGGGACTGGGGTTGCTTTTGGGCACGCCAGGCCCCTGCCTGGGCTTATTTCTATACTGCTGGTGGTGGAGCTGCCTTCAGAGCGGGGCAGCCGCTGGCCAGGCAACCTGTTCCAGAGGCACTGATGCTGCCAGCATCAGCAGTCTCAGCCTTAAGTTTGATTTTTTGCACTAGGAGGGGGCCTCCAGGGGGTTGGGCTAAGACAAATTGTGTGGTGACAATGGCCCCCACAAACCTCTTCCCCAACCAGCATCACTCCTGGGGCCATTTAAATCACTGTCTACATTCTAGAATAAGTGCTATCATTCCACTAGAAAATCATGTTTTAGCCTGGATATCTATGGTCTTGTCTGCAGCAAGGATGCCATTCTCCAATGCATGGGGAGAGGCAAAGGTGGCCTTCATGCCTCCACATACTCTCCAAATTCCTAGGAGATTATCAGTTTCCAACTGATGCTCTGTTGCAAGAGCCCAACTGCCAATAATAGCTGGGGCATGCGGCCAGGTGGGCAAAGTGATCTAGTCATGACCTCTCTTTCTTGACATGTCCTTTTGCAAGGTCTGCAGATAGGAGCATAGCTTCAGTCCAACAGCTCTATGCTGCCTGAAGAACCCAGTCATGCAGGGATAGTCTGCAGAATAGCAATTCCACTTTTAGACTTTTTGTGGTAATTACCCACTGGTATACGAATGTTGGTGCGGTCAGAGCTATGTCACGAATCTTAGTGTAGACCAGGCATGTCAAACTGGCGTTTGGAGGGGCCGCATGCAGCCTGATCAAAATTTTTTGCGTCCCACCAGAACATTTTTTTAAAAGAATTAAGTGCAGCCTGCTGGCTGCTTGGAGCACATGGTTGAGTGCCTGCTCACAGCCGGCCAGGCCGCTCTGCACTGCAGCAACTGCTCACAGTCGGCTGGGCTGCTATGCGCACGCACGCACAGCCAGCTGGTCACTCTGCACTGGGCGCTCCAGCAGGCGCTCACAACTGGCCGCTGTGCTCATGCTGCCCCAGCGCCTCAGGTGGCAACGTTGACTCCAGGACCCAGGTATTAGGTTGTGGGAGGAGAGAGGCATTAGGTTGGGGGGGGTCTTGGCTCTGGGGGAGTTTAGAGGGAGATTGGGATAGAATGTGGGTATGAGAGTGCCTGGCTTTGGAGGAGAGGAAGGGGTTATTTTGTTAATATTTTGTTTTTTATTTATTTATTCCAAGATAAAATCACAAAATGTATATTAATTTTATATCAATATGTCAATTTTTTGCAATTACATGATAATTATATCTTTATGCAAAATCTCAAACTTACAAAGCATCTGAAATTTTTACAGAAGCCTGTTCTATTTGATTAACCATGGTCTATACTTGTTTTTATTTCAACAAAATAAGTTATGTATCGTATACAATTTTAAAAGTACCTTACATTTATATTTAAATTAAAAATTATGCAAAATTAATTTTAAAATTATTTAATATGAGCACATAAAAATATTACACATCAAATTATTGTAATATTATAAAATATACCTAAAACATAATCTATAAAATAAATTACTACGACTTTCCAAGAAAGTACATTTTCTTTGGTGGCCCTGGGGTTGCCAGGTGTTTGGTATTGTTGTCTTCTGCCTGGCACCTAAATTTTTTTTGTTTTTTGCTCAACAACAATTTTTTTTCTTTTTTGGTCAAACCATCTGGGAACCCTAGGTGTCCCTGAAAGCTATCAGTTTTTGTTTGTGCAACCCTTAGTAGGCTTCAAGTTTGACATGCCTGGTGTAGACGGTATTGCCATCCCCAAGTGTTTAAAATCACAAGATTCACTTAGAATTTGTAAAAAAATTAATATATTTTTTATTTTACTGTACCTTCTCATTTTTGAGCTTTTAAGTTATATTTATTTCATGCTTCCTCTACAGTTGTGACAGCTAGAAACCTATTTTTTAACAAATATAAGCTGTGATTATCATCTAATTATATGCTTCCAGGAGTTGTGGATTTAAAGAAAGCTCATATGATGAGATTCATGATAATATTGCAGGAGTTAGTGAAACAGTTTTAGGCACTTATATTTGAAAAATCTGGCTTGTCTGTATAAAAGTTCACAAGAACTTTGCTAAAGTACTGAAAGTGTACATAACTTTTTATTAAATCTCAGCAGGCTAGCCATGTTAGTCTGTAACTTTAAAAACAATTAATAGTCCTGTGGCACCTTTGAGACTAGGGATGTTAAATATCTATTAATTGAGTAGTCGATTAACCTCATGAATTCGTATTGGTTACTGGACTATTCTATAGTCCTTGGGGGTGAGGCTGGCAGCCAGTGTACTGCTATCTTCAACCTTTTAATGACTTAACCAACCAACCAAACAATAGAGGTGCTAATGGTTCTTAACAGCTTCTCGTATCTATTTGAATTATTTACTCACTATCTCTCTTTTTTCTTTCTCCCCTCCTCTTTTTCCTTCTTCTCCCACCCTTCCCTTATTTATTATTGGATCTGGACTTAATATACTCCAGTCATCAGAAGAAGTGGGTTTAGCCCATGAAGGCTCATGATACCATATATGTCAGTGATCCCCAACGCGGTGACTGTGGGGGCCATGGCACCCACCGGGGCATTTATGTGCGCCCCCCCCCCAGTGACCAGGGCCGGCCTGAGCCCCTGGTGCATGCACAGCCCCCGCCCTGGGCGTGCGAAAGCCCCAAAAGGTTGGGGACCACCGATCTAGGTTTTGTTAGTCTTTAAGGTGCTACTTTTCTAGGGTGGTTAAGGACTGGAATACATTTATTGTTGTGGAATCTTCATCATTGGAGATTTTTAAGAGCAGGCTAGAGAAAGGTCTACCTACTACTTAGTCCTGCTATGAGTATAGGGGACTGGACTAGATAACCTCTTGAGGCCCTTTCCAATTCTGATTTAATGATTAGATGAATATGAAAAGTCCTCTCTGCTGAAAACAAAAAGTTTCGGTGGGAAATGGTTTATGTAATGCTCTTCCTGATTTCCACATCTGAATATCCTCACCTGTCTGAAAGATTTACCTATTTATTAAGGATCCTTCCATTATAGCTTTCCTTCATATTAGGGCAAGCAGCCCCTTAGAGTGGTTCTGTGGTTTTGTTGGAGGACTTAGTTTGCATGTGACTAAGTAAAGCTAAGTCAAAAGGGATCCTGGGCAATGTAGTCTTAACTAGAAAGCTACACAATTGGAATCAGGTAATAAGGCTAAACCTTACGTGACATCTAAATTAATACTCAGCGTCCTGAACAACACTTAAGTTAATTCAGAAGTTTAGAGAATTTTTCATTGAAGTTAGTGGGCACTATAAGCTCTCAACACTTTTAAAAATCATACTATATTTATTTAAGATTTTAATACTGGGCAACTAAGTTTTAAAATGATGTCATAAGATTATGTGAAAGGGATTTTTGTGGAGAAATATTACTCAATAAAGGGCCAGAGTTTCACAGAGCACTTTTTATCATGATCAGGTTGCTGAAAGAATCAATTACTACCAAACTACAAACTATTTAGAGGTTGTTTTGTAAGTATGCTGTGTTTTCAAATTTCAGTATTTAATAGCTTTGTTGCTTTTTCTAGGATTGGTCCTGTAGCTCTACTTACCCTGCTGAAGAGAGCACTTGACCCCACTTGGGCACCCAGATTAGATTAGGGTGGCCTGGATGGCCCCTGATGGGCCTTTCTGTCTTTTTGGATCCTGGGAGCTCAGAGTAATTCCTGGCCCTCTGTCTCATACATCTATTTTGCACTATACAAACTGGTTTTCTTTTGATAACAGCATATCCTAAAACCCTGGATGTTAAAGAGAGGGAGCTTTTCTTGCAAAAAAGAATGTTTACTCTTTTCTATATTTTTAATTGGTTTAGCCTTTTTGCATCAGAGAGTAGCTGTTAGTGTCCTGGCTGAATGAAAATATTGTGTAAAGTACTGATTGGGTCACTTGGGTGGGGGGTTAATGTATGTTACAGGTGAGTGGCATGAGTTTAATACCATACTGGTGTTTTTATTTCAGTTTTGTCCACTACTCACCTAAATCAAAGGCGTTAGTCCTGGATTTTTTTTTAATGCCTGGCTCTGACACCGAATTCTTGCATCATCTTGGGATTGTCATGTAGTCTTTTTGGGTATGTCTAGACTACAGGGTTTTGTTGACAGAAGATACTATCGACAAAGCTTCTGTCGACAAAGAGCGTCTAGACTACATCCAGTTCTGTCGACAAAGCAAGCCACTTTGTCAACATAACAGTGTGGACGCAAAGGACAGTGTAGATGCAATAATGCCTTCTATCGACAGAACTCTGTCAACAAAAGGCGTTATTCCTCGTAGAATGAGGTTTACATACGTCGACAAAACTGCTGAGTTTTGTCGAAGTTATGTTGACATAACTCAAAGGCAGTGTGGACGCAGGTATAGTTTTGTCGACAAAAGTCCACTTTTGTTGACAAAACCCTGTAGTCTAGACACACCCTTTGTGAAGTAGGTCAGGACTAACTCCTTCATCTTCCACAGATGTGGGAAGGAGATGTTGAAAATTAGTGTTTGTAAAGTGCTTTGATATTCTTCCATTCGAGGGTGAAACAGAAGAACAAAGGATTTTGGTTTTGTAAATAAGTAGAAGGAAGAAATATTTATTTCTGTAATATTCACACCTATGAGATTGTCTTTGACTTCATTTGTGGTTAGGTTTTAGGGCATATGCAGTGAGCAGGAATCCCAGTATGGTTTTAATTCTCTTTCATAGCGTGGCAAGTGCAATTGTTACTGTGTTGGTGGGGAGGGAATGGGTTGGAAAGGTATCTGACTGTTCTCTTTTTGGCACTGGTCCAGAAATAGCAAGGGATTTCTCCAAGCATATCTTCCTCAGATATATGTCCTTTTCTTAAGGCTTTTTTGTAATCTCTTCTTCCCTTGCTCATTGCAGTAACTTGATGCAAAGCGGAGGTTAGCTTTGGTGTTGCCTGTCTCTTGGAAAACACACTCATGATATCAGTTTTCTTCTTTCTGTCCCCTTCCAGGTATATCTTGTCAATTGAAAATGAGGAGGAGATCCGAGAATATGTAATTGACCTCATCCAGGGGACTGATGGGAAGAAAAGTCAGTTTATAGAAGAGCTGGTAACCCGATGGAGAAAGTCTTCTCAGCCGGCTTCCAACCCTTTGCCAATGTATAGAAAAAGAGACGGTGAGTCAAAGTAGAGGATGGAGCGGTAGGAAGAAAGTATCCAAACCTTGTTACTTGATCAGCAGATGCTTGTAGGGTTGTGAAGCATCTTCTGGTCTTGGATCTCCCTTTCTGCCCATTTTGAAGGTTTACAACCAAGTGATTGCTCTTCCTAAAAGTTCACCAATATTCTCCTTCTCTGCACAACCCTTTAGAGGTTTCAGATATGCACCCAATGGGAGATCCAGGCAAGAGGGGGCGACGCAAAGGAAGGAATAAGCAAGAAACATCTCAGTACGCTGAGCCCAGCCCACCCCCTGAGGACGTCAAAACGCCACTTGATCTGGCCAAGGTGAGTGTGCCTGGCAGTGAGGGCGGAGTGGCAACTGTGGAATGCAGAGCAAATGGGCCTCACTGAGGCATGGGAGGAAGCAGATGGCTTTGTGCAAGCTGCAGCGGACTTTCAGCCTCAGGAGCTAACTGTGCGAACTTGCCCTGGGGACTTTCTCAGCGCTTAAGTAAAGTTTTAACCCAAGCAGATGTGATGGTTTCACTGGCAGGCAATTTCTTTAGTCTTGCACCAGCGCTCCTCCAAGTCCCTCAGCCTTCTCCATCCCCTGCTTTAAGGCCAAGAGGGAGGGTTTGAGTGGGGAGTGCAGCAGCAAGGTGTATGTGGGAGCAGGGGATTGGGACTCCTATTTGGCATCTTCCATCCCTCATTATCCAGTTTCACGAGTCCACTACTCCATGCAGTCATCGTATAAAGTAAGATGTGGGTTAGAGTCTAAAACATGCTACTTTTTCCATTGAACATTTGCGTTATATTCATTCACACGGCCAGGCATACTCTTTGCTGATGGTCCTGGGGATTGTCATCTTCATTGTCTATTACAGGGTTTTTTTAACTTTTTTTTTTCTTATGACCCCGTTGAAGAAAATTGTGGATGACCACAGTCCAGCATAATGTGTCTGGAGTGTGGGCTCTGAAGTGGGGCAGAGGATGAGAGCTTTGGGGTGTTGGAGGGAGCAGGAGGGGTTTACCTCGAGTGGCTCCCAGTCAGCAGTGCAGTGGTGGGGGACTAAGGCAGCTTCCTGCATCTCCTAGCACTGCAGACCATACTGCACCCCAGGAGCAGCCAGCAGAAAGTTCCCTGCTAATGGGAGTGCAGAGCTAGTGTTTAGGGCTGGGGCAGTGTGCGGAGCCCTGTGCACACTCTCCTCTCCCCCTTCCCCCCCCTGCGCTGGAGCCAAGCCTGTTGCTGCTGCTTCTGGGGCACAGCGCAGTCTGTGGTGCCAGGATAGGGAGGGAGCTGCCTTAGCCCCCCCACTGCTCAACTGTTGCCCCCACAGCAGCAAGACCCAGCACCTGATGTCCCACCACCCAGTTTGAAAAGCACAGGTCCATTATGTGTGCAAATTCAAACTTTCATGAACAAAAATACATCACTTGTCCTGAGGGTTGTGAAGAGAGCCTTGAAAATACAGTGTGTAAACCAACGCAGTGCTTTGAGCAGGAGTCTGAGGAGAGCCTGAAGCAACAGTTGCATTTGTTCTGGCCCACAGAAAAATCACTTGGGGGTCACACACAAGTGAGAAGCAAAAAAAAAAACCCCCAAAAGAAAACAAAAAAACCCACAACCCTCACTGGCCTGGCCCTCAGGTGAGAAGGAGAAAAAAACCCCTCACAGATGTGGACCCCAAGTGAGAAGCAGAGAATTATAGAATACTAGGACTGGAAGGGACCTCGAGAGGCCATCGAGTCCAGTCCCCTGCCCTCATGGCAGGACCAAATACTGTCTAGACCATCTCTGATAGACATTTATCTAACCTCCTCTTCAATATCTCCAGAGATGGGGATTCCACAACCTCCCTGGGCAATATTCCAGTGTTTGACCACCCTGACAGTTAGGAACTTTTTCCTAATGTCTAACCTAAACTTCCCTTGCTGCAGTTTAAGCCCATTGCTGCTTGTTCTATCCCCAGAGGCCAAGATGAACAAGTTTTCTCCCTTCTCCTTATGACATCCTTTTAGATATCTGAAAACTGCTATCATGTCCCCCCTCAATCTTCTCTTTTCTAAACTAAAGAAACCCCGTTCCTTCAGCCTTCCCTCATAGGTCATGTTCTCTAGACCCTTAATCATTCTTGTTGCTCTTCTCTGGACCCTCTCCAATTTCTCCACATCTTTCTTGAAATGCGGTGCCCAGAACTGGACACAATACTCCAACTGAGGCCTAATCAGTGCAGAGTAAAGCGGAAGAATGACTTCTCGTGTCTTGCTCACAACACACTTGTTAATGCATCCCAGAATCATGTTTGCTTTCTTTGCAACAGCATCACACTGCTGACTCATATTCAACTTGTGGTCCACTATGACTCCTAGATCCCTTTCTGCCATACTCCTTCCCAGACAGTCACTTCCCATTCTGTATGTGTGAAACTGATTGTTCCTTCCTAAGTGGAGCACTTTGCATTTGTCTTTATTAAACTTCATCCTGTGTACCTCAGACCACTCTCGTTAGTCCCCTCAAGCTCCAATCCCCAGGGCTGGATTAACCTCTGGGGACTTGGAGCTAGAGGAGTTGGTGGGGCTCCCATAGGCTCTGGGATGGGGCCAAAAATGAAGGGTACAGTGTGCGAAAGAGGCCCACCATGGAGCGGGCTGAGGATGGGAATGTTGGGTGTGGGCAGAGGTAGGAGACAGGAGCAGATTGAGGGTGGAGGTGCAAGTCTGAGGAGTAGGGAGGATGCAGGGGCAGGTTGTGAATGTGGGTGGTATGGATGGCGGGGTGGGAGCAAAGTGTATAAGAGGTGCAGGATGGGGCAGGAGATTGGGGCTCCAATCTGGCACAGATCTGAGGGGGAAGGTAGCTCCCTGCAGGCACACTCCTCTCCATCACCCCACTCCCATTGGCCAGAAATTGCCGGGGGATGAAGAAGGCGGTGCTTCCAGGGAATGCTTTCCTACAGGACCCAGAGCCACTTCCTCCTCCCACCAGCCAGGGCTCATGGACTTGCCTGTATCGTGCCCATGAGGCTTGGGGCTCCCCCTCGCTGCTGGAGGCCTTGGCACCCCCCTCGTCGCTAGAGAACCAGCACCGGAGCAGGAGGGGGGCTGAGCCTTGTAGGCACGATAAAGGCAAGCTATGGGCTGGATGTGGCCTGCGTGCTGTCGGGTCCCCTCCGCCATAGAGGTAGCTTTAGCATTTATTCAGCAGTAATGCAAGAAACCTACAGGCCTGTGTCCCGTAAACACTGGTTTCAGCGGTTTGCATAGGGAGAGGCCCGTGAACTTTGGCACAGATAAATGGCCTCACATTTACCCGAGGGCTGGGGAACTGGAGTGTGTAGAGGGAAATTTTGCTCATTACGACACCAGCTGACCATAGGGACACAAGCAAATGCCGTCTTGGGTAGGACATCTGCAGCGGTCAGACCACAGGAGTACCATGGGAACAAACTGACCTATATGAGAAGCTGCGATCATGGCTATACTAACCTACAGGAGAGAGACACTCCAGCGCTGGGGGGTGAGGCGATACAAGTAAGGCCCTGCTGGGTAGGCATTAGCCATAGCACTATCAGTGTAACAGGTAAAGGTTGCAGCCCAGTCTGTGAGCAGTGGGGGAGAGAGATGTAGCCCTTGGGAGAGACCAGAGTAATGGCCACTGGCGAGGAGGAGGATGCATGCTGACCTGCCCCGATCAGTCAGTAAGTGATAGCTTGAGTATACTGACATTCAGGTGGACGTTCTGTATCCTGCCTGCCTGCCTTGCTGAGTGAGTGTGTGTCTCTTGGCTAACTGTGTTCATAAGCTATTTATAAATGCAGAAGGGGTACTGAAGTGTGAGTGTTGCAACTCTGCCGAATTCAGGGTTCTCAACTGAACAGCAATTTTAATACTTGGCCTGATCTTGGGACAAAAGCCTGTCAAAGCTCAGTGATCACTGAGAGAATTCATACTGATCCATTTAATTAATACATCATTTAGAGATTGGGCTACAGATGTGAACTAAAAGGTCTCTTCTCAGGTATTTGATCTCCCTCTGCATTTAGGTGCATAGGTTACCCTATAGATGCATCAGGAATGTGGATTTACTGGACTGCAACATCAGCTCTCCTTGTCTAGCATTAACTCTGTGACTTGGAGCAATGTGTTGGCTGGGCTTTGTTTGCTGATCTGAGTTTCTATAGTTTTGTTTGATTTAACAAAATCCAATTATAGGTTCTTAGTTGCGGAGTCCAAGAACTTTCTCTCTGGCACACGTGAGCCAGGCAATTCCAGTTTGCAAAGAGGGGAAGAAAAGCTGAGCAGTTGTTCAGTTCTCGTTTCGTGACTATGATGATGACCTTGTCCTTGCCTCTGTTCAGGGAAATCGTCCTGGTTAGAAATCGGAGTCTGGTCCCACTTTCACTCAAGCTGGCTAGGTGACTGCCTGGCTGGTTATCCCCACTCTGTGTTTAAAGGGCCACCCTTTTGCTCTGATATTTGTGTTGCAGTGAGAATGCAGGTGATAGTCACTGTTTGCTCTTTCTAACTTAGGCACAAGAGATGGGCGGTGCTGGCAGCATCAGCAGCTCCTCCAAGAAAAAGGCCAAATTCGTCAACCTGTACACCAAGGAGGGCCAGGACAAACTGGCAGTTCTGATTCCCGGGCGCCACTCCTGTGAGTGCCTTGGCCAGAAGCACAAACTCATCAATAACTGTCTGACCTGTGGTCGTATTGTCTGCGAACAGGAGGGCTCTGGCCCCTGCCTATTTTGTGGCACATTGGTATGTAGCCTCCACTTTTTTCTTTCTGGTGTACTTAAATGGTGTGTTTAGTGCTTGGGTTTGTATTTGGTGTGTGGCTGGTTAGCACGGTGCCTCCTCTAGCTGGAGCAAGGGTTATTATGCTGCGTTGGCCCTTGTTTACCCAGTATAAAGGGGCCGGAGCAGAGGTGAGCTTTTCACACCTGTAGTTAGAATTTTTTTAACGATCTCTACATTGAGGAAGGGCTGGGAGACAATACAGGGTCAGATCAGAAGATGAATCCCAAATAGGGTTTTATGTGATCGATTTTCTTGCCAAAAGGTGACCCCTAAGGATGAAGTCATTTCTCATTTTGGACAGCTGGTGTGAATTATTTTCCATTCCTTTTCTTTGTTATTTGAGCTCCCTTGTGTTATTCCACAAGAGGACACAAGTTGTGTTTTCATTTTCCCCATTGATGTAATGGACCTATAATCCTCTGCTTCCCTAGGCTGTGGGATAATTTAATTAGCTAACGATGCTTTATAAAGAAAAGTGAAAAAAATTGGGGTGGGACCCCTTTTTGCTGTTGGTGATGGATGAAGAGTGTAAGATGGTGGTGGTAGGGTGTACAGGCATGTACTTTTTTTTGAGGATTTTTAATTGTTTTTACCTTAGGAATATGAAAAATGTCAAATTGCTCCTCCCTGCGTATGGCAGGAAAGAATTTTTGGGAGTCTTTCAGCATATCGTGCGTTCTCGCAACTTATTTGAAGGGGCATAGGGTGTATGCACGTATGTGTTTGTGTTCTATTCTAAACAAGGAGTTTGTGTTTTTTCTTCCTGGGATAGTGTTGTGACTGGAAAGCCAATGCAATTGCCTTCCTGAGGGAGTGAATGCTGAATTGGTGAGAGGAGAAAGAAGTTTTAATCCAAGTACTTGAATCTGTTTAACTCCAGTCCCTAATGACCACCTAAGAGAAAGGTTGCCTTTTGTGAAACCAAAGTGTGAGAGCCCCACAAATCCCTGAAATGCTCTAGCAAAAACTCAGGGGAGACCAGTCTTGGTGCCGCTGATATTTCTGAGACAAAAAATGAGCAGAGAACAAGCTTTTCGGTCATCTTTGCATACTCGGAGAAGACACAAAAAAGCCCCGATGAAATCCTGTGGCCCTGCTGTTCAATATCCTGGGCAGCTTACCTCTTGTCAACAACTTTTTGGGGTTGCCAAGTATCACTCTTACCTTGATCTTCCTCTTGCCTTCTAGGTGTGCACGAAGGAGGAGCAGGACATCCTGCAGCGGGACTCAAACAAGAGCCAGAAGCTGCTGAAGAAGCTCCTGGCAGGTTGGTAGCACTCCTGTGTCAGGTAGTTAATCCTGTAAATGAGACAGCGGTTTCAACCCTGCTGTACCACCATGTTACTGTAACTGTGCTTATGTTTTCACCGCCGTCTGGGGTTAGGCAGAGCCTACATTTTGTAGGGCCTTAGTCATATAGATCTATTTCCTCTGGTTATCCAGAGGCACTCTAGAAAACTGCATGTGGAAAATTTCCCAGAGATTCAGCAACTCCTTCCGGACACTTCCTACAGAATTAAGCTCCCTGAAGAAGGTGATCAATGCTCTCCAAAATCTTTCCAACTCACCCCACCCTCGGGCAGCATTCTTTTGCCTTGAAGGGCTGGATGAGAATCTCACTGGAGTTTATCAGTCCTATTTCGTTGCCTAGCATGCTGCTTCCCCTTCTTAATGGTTCGCAGGTGCTAGCCAGAGGAGGCCAACTCTGGGATTAGGGCGGGGGTGGTTTGAGTGGTAATGTATAAAGCGCTGACCACTAGGCGGCCTGCAACTATTCGTGAAAATGAGGCACTTGGAGCAGGCCAGCAGCCCTTAACAATGAGACTAAAAGTCCCACTTAGAGCATCTGCTGCAGGGCGCTGGTTACAGCAGTGGGACTGGTGAGGTGTCTGAGGGAGCAGTTGCTGTTCATCTTTTGGAAAGATTCTTTGTCTTCTGCTTGTCTCAGGGGTAGATATAGAAACAGGCTCAAAAGGGAAGCAACGTTTGCACATAACCCTCCCGCTCCTTGGTGAAATCCTGTGGATTCGGGAGCTCTCTGCATTAGTTTTGCCAATGCCCCTGGTTAGAGCTTGGAATCGAGTTAGCTTTGTTCTCGGTTTAGGCTTCTCTTCCTAGTGACTGAGGTGCAGGAGCTGTTTTTGCTTCTCTTTTCTCTGGCCATAGAGCTGTGCTAGCGACGGCTGGCCAGTAATAAAGCCAGACACCCAACAAGGTCTCTGCAGAGACCTAAACATGTCCAGGGTGTAACTCACCTGCTCTAAGCGGTCT